GGTGTTGCCTACATCTGGAGCAGCTTTTCGTTCGGCACCCAGTGCTGAGCATATGTAGCAGAGCCACTGTAAGGCGTCGCTTCCCACCTATGCTTCGCAGTCGTTACGTTCTATGCGGGCAAACCCTTGGTGGTACCAGTAACCGCAGCAGCCACATTGAATAACGCTAGAGACCATTTTCTGATACTTAAGAGCTCCACAGCAACCGGGTTTGGCCACGGCGGAAGCTCGCAATGTGCATTTCTTTTCTCTATGCAAAATATCTTACGCAATGAAATCACTGATTTCAAAATTTAGCACCCGAGGACTTACCGAATATCTTCGCTATGCGGGTTTACGGACTTTTACAAGATTTGCAGCGGTTTCAGCAGCTTTCACTCACAGTAGTTTGTAATTACGAGACTAGAATTTACCACGTCAAAAATTTGAACCGAGCGCTCAGGGTCGTTCAGTTTACATCAATGATTCAGATTCCAAAGCAGGCTTGTCTCCTCGTTATTCATTAGTTGATGTATTTAATAAGGTACTACAACGAGTAAGGTCGCTGGAAGTGACGCATGGAATTCTCCTTGCTAAAGATTCCATGAGAGGGTATCCGATACCCAGCGGCATGCAGTCGTTTAAACCGTTGCTCATACTTGCTAAAGATTCCATGAGAGGGTATCCGATACCCAGCGGCATGCAGTCGTTTAAACCGTTGCTCATACGAGTAACACCCATTGAGCGGAATATATTAATAAGTAACTGGAAGTCATGTAAGATTGAACGAATTGTTCACGAGAGAGGGTTCTTCATGGTCGTGGATAGTAAGGGCAAGGGTCATAAAGTAGTTACTGCAGGGGAAACGGAGCGTGAATGTTATTTCTATGCGCAACGGTTTTTGCCCTGTTTGCATATAGCCAGGATATTCTACATGATTAATTGGGATATTCAAAGTCTTATTCCAGATAGGTGGATTATAAACCTCGGCGAAAGGCGTTCAGATCAGAACTCGACTGTGGTAACAGCGGCCTCAAGAAACGTGATGGGTAGGACATCAAAGTTAGCTCAAATAGAGGATGTCCTTCAAGAGTTTGGTGTCTCTTTGAATAGTTTAGGTACAGTGCATTACAATTTTCAATGCAATCAACTTCGATGTGTAGCAGCTATGATAGGGAAGTACCCGGACATCCAGATGTTATTCGATAGACAGGGTTCGACAACACAGACTATGGAGAGTAAGCGCACCTGTCTTCCGTCTACGGGCGTCAAGGTGAGAGTCGATAACCAACCAGTGGCTTCAACAAGCGGATCGAAATGAAAGCGGAAATCAGTTTTAGGGAGTATAGAAGTCGATAGTGATGACGACAAAATAATCCTAGGTGACTCACTGGAGCATGCTGTATTCCGAAGACTGACAATAACGACATCCGCAAAGTACAAACTGGACACAAAACACAGAAGGCAAACCAATCCGGTATCGCCCATGAAGGCGAATTATTGCAGTGTCTGCAAATATGCGTCGAACACGGTCGATTTGGACGATGATCAACAATGGGTTCAGTGCCACAAATGTGCGCGACGAACACAAACCAGTTGCGCTGCTTACAGTGGAGATGAAGCATACGTTTGTGTTCATTACCTCAGTCGATGAGCGTCGACGTCAAAAGCTCATAGTGACTGAAAACGGCTCTTTTAGGGCTACGCCACGAGAAGGCAATGAATAGACTTTCATCAGCAGATGCTATTTGAGACGCTTGGTTGTATGGAAGCATTTTGCGAGGTGCAAGGAAAGGGTGACCTTTCGCACTCTCAGACAACCACCCCGACCATACAGAGGCCTTCGGAGCGAAGCTGACGATTTGCCCATTCATAATCAAAAGTGACGCCTTTGCATGCTAGGCGGAACACCTCGAGGCACATGGGCTTCCCCTGCTCCATGTAAAGATGGTAGAATAATACTCGTTAGAGAATTGGCAACTCTGTTAAATAAAGTTTAGCCCAATGAACAGGTCCTTCCCTCGTACGGGGATTCGAATGTTGTCCCCATCTTCCAAAAGGGATCGTGCAATTTTGATGGAAGGCAGTAAAAAGAAAGTCCTGGCTAGCGACCGAATCAAGAATGGCGCTCATCCAACGAGACGCGCAGACACAGCGGTGGAAAGTGCCTCGTGGGACAATGTTGACTGCCGCCCGAAAAGAACGAATCGACAATTACAGTCCGACAAACAATCCGCAGCCAACGGAAAAGATACCCACCGAATGCCACAACGTCGGAGTTGACGATCAACGCATTTCGCATCGCGATCGGGTCAAACCAGTCGGAATGGCACGCGGAAGAAGAGGTAACGCACGTGCCAAGTGCGGATCAAGACCAACAAGGAATGGCCCACAGAAAGAGGCATGAATCACCCGGCCGCGAGGTTGAGACTTGACTGTAAATAATTGAACGCATACACCGTTTGTTTCTTAATTGGATCAGTAGACGTTTTTTCCCAGCCAACTCGCCTTCTCGCTACAATATGATCAGCATACTTTAAGTGTCGCATAGGAGGAGTAATAGGTAAGTCACTGATATAAGTCGCAAATAGGGTGATAAGACAGCAACTTAAATTACAACCAAACTACTGAGTGATACCATTGACTGTCTCCTTCCCAATTTAACCTATAGAAAAGTAATCAAAAAGTCATTCAAGAAGAGAAATGGGACAACCAAACGATTGGAGCTTGTTAACTAAAAGAGAACACTGGATACCGGATCAAAAGCGAAAGAATAACCAAGGAATGCACAGTGCACATATTCGGCTTTCTCGTTTAGGGACTTGTAGATGAAGTGAACTAGAGAAGCAATGGCATCCAATTTGGATCGTTTATGTTTGTATGCAAACTGATAAATATCATTTGGAATGGTGAAAGATAATTGAAGGCGGTGCAGAACTGACCGCTCCGTCCATTTCAAACCGGTTGAAGTGAGAGCAACTGACCTGAAACGTTCCGCAATTGAGACCTTTGTCGTTCTTTAGGGGATGTGTGTAATTGTCACCAGGGGCTAGTACAATGAAGACGAAGAAAACATATTCCATTGATTCACCACCATTCACCTCACATTCAGCTAACTCATCACAATGGACGACCGCATCGATAGCTTATAGTATAAACCTTACTCGTCGACCAAGTGGATCAAATAAAAGATTTGCTTTCCGAAGGAACAAGTGCTGTGGATAATATTTGTATTTCATGAGCTTCGTCCCCGTGCGATACTAATTTGGTCTCATTCGCACAGTTTTTCATCGCCAAACATAGTAAAGCAACAGCAAAAGTAGAAAAACCAAAAATTGCACCCAAAATGGAAACTTTTTTGAAATTTTCATACAAAGACGATAAGGCGAACGGATCAGTCAGGAGGCGGTTGAACTCTGCCATTTAGCGCGTCTATTTCATAGTTGACTCAGTCATTGTCTTCAATACAAGCCGGATACCAAAGACATCGTTGAAAGAACATTGCCCCCTCCGTCGGAGCAAATTGCACTTACCAGTTCAAGTGTACATTAGCTCCACCAAATGACCGAACATGCCCCGGGGTTGCTTATGAAATCGCAAGACAACAACGTTGAAACCGTTACACCATCGAATGAGCAGAAAAGACTTAGATCTTCGATAACAACACTTTTTCAAAAAAATATAGTGTTACTTCAGCCCACGCATTTCACATCATGATTATGGTATACCAAATAATGCAAAACCCAAGCCATCCATGTCACCCGCTGCTAAAATTATCACCTATCGTTCATCTTAGATTACATCCATTCAAACTAGTGGTCTCAAAATGCCGATTAGAATGCCGGTGTCAGTCATTCGCAGTCAGAGTGTGTTCGATCTGGAACTCTCTGCCAAACCACGTCGTCTTTGCGCTAAGCAGTGAATCTTTCAAACTGAGACTCAATAAAGAATTAGCACACCTTAAATTTCAACATAAATGAAGCTGCGTGCGGCAGTAAAAGAATTACGTATCATGCGATATTTTATACAAGTAATTGTATGTGTCACTGTCTTTTAAACCACAATACGAACCTATGGGACAAGAAAAGCAAAAAAGTGTACGTTATTCCTATAATGAAACTTTAAACTTTGAACCTACAAGAAAAGACACAACATTACTGATATTTGCCCAGGCTCTGATCATTCGTACTCTGAAACCCAATCTATGCAAAGAACGTGAATAGCTGGTCTCCTGAGTGTTGTGGTTCGTACTCGGACTAGTATTTCGTATACGTATCGGATTCCGCGCACTAGTGGTCCGACCCAGAACTAGGACTCCAAACGAAATCAGAAGTCAACTCAGAGGCGGAATGGAATTGTAATAGGCGGAAATTAGAAATGTACAAGGATATCGTGTTCAATAAAACAAAAGAGTTCATAGTTCATGAGCAATCACCACACTGAGCTTTGCCTTGGTGATTAACTCCTATCCTCTCCCGTTCTTTGTGTGAGTGCGTCGTTTTGTCCGTTGTGATTCGCGATCTTGTCTTCATGCGACAGTCCTTGTTTCACGAACTATAATAATCACTTTCACTGCAGTACACATGTGTACAGATGCAGCGAAATAACCATGGATATATTGTGCAAACCCGTTTCTAACTTCTTTATTCCTAAGTACGATTACTCTGTTTATGGTAAGACGCTTCATTCTGTGTAAATCAGTTTACTCATACCCATGTTGTGCTTTCAAAACAACAGTTCTCCTCATCCCGGCAAATTACAAAACCGGTAACCCCTCCGAGTCGAAACGACTCCATACGCGTAGTGACCACAAGCTTTGTTATTTTCATCATTCACATCAGCCTACTTATTAGTAGTACACAAGCAACTTGTACACAAGTCATGTGAAAAACAAACGCGTCATCGATTTTTCAGACTATTTGTTGGTTCTTCTGCTAGCCTTGAAATTAAAAGAAATGTCTACAGCGTATTAATTAGCCTTTTTTCTTTTGTGTATAATAAAAAGCTCATGTAATCGAAAATCTTAATTCATTTTGTGCTGCAGGTCAGGAATAGGAATAAAAGAGTCCGGCGGTGAAGCAAAAAAGCATGTCACGTTTTCAGTGGAAAGAAGGGGATATGGCGAGCAGTTCCCAACTTTGGATACAAGTTCACTGTGAAGAAAAGGATTTCCCACTTAAATTCGTGAAATATATAACGTGTGACCACTACTGGTTACCTCATCTGACTCAGCACAAGAGTGTGAACTTCCACGGGATAATCACATGATTTCATGCGGGGAACATTATTTCCTACTCCTCTACATAACTTTTACTCATTGGGAATTCCGTATTGCATTTGTCACTGCCATTTATCCGGACGCATAATCCCCTCTACCAGTCAGTCAGATTATAAAAAGAACATTTTACGACATAAGTCGCTATTAGGGCCAGATGTAAAGGAAGTCACTTTTGTTTTCTCCTCGTGGACCGATTTCGATCTTATAGATACTAAACTGATTGGCTTTTCAGAATATACCGAGGGTGGGGTAGTTTTCGTCCCTATTCAGTTTTCGTGCGTGTGCACCCCTACCCCCCCCCCCACACACACACTTGAAATAGTTTGCGTGCATAAGTGAGAGTATGCTTGTATCGAAAAAGACCTTTCAAGTTGTGGGTTTGTTTATCTATGTGAGACAGACAGGAAGTGAATGACTTTTGATGAGCGGAAGTTTCTATGAGATACGCGCCACTGTCAGAAGTGTGTGTGTGTGTGTGTGTGTGTGTGTGTGTGAAGCGTCTGAATAGGTACAGGTAGGTTCAGTAACACAATAACAAAAGCGCTATTTTTCGCAAAGCTCCTTCACGTGCTACATTTTGTTCATTTAAAACTCTCTGAAACCAAAATAAGATTTATTAATTTTTTAATCTAGTCCAACGGAGATGGCGATAGATAGAAAAACTATTGACAAAAATGCATGAACTTGCAATTACTTGATAGATGAGTGGGCAAAGTCTCTTTGTGACACTGCTTTCTCTTCCTGTCTGTCCCGAACTCCCCACCGTGTCTCCAAAACAGAAAAATGGGGTATTGTATTTCACTGTGCTTTTTGATTGCCAAATGTCGCATCACAGTGAACATAATTCTTATTTTACCAACACAGATAAATAACAGGTCATTTGCTGAGGCCGTTTTTGTCGAATTTGAATGGATAAAATGCTTTTTCTTCGAAAGTTTACTCCTTAGGTGATGTCACTTCCATCATACTCATATATAGGGCTGGCCTTGATTGGTTTTATCAGTTGTAACTTTTTTGCATACAGGCAAGACTGTATGAATACTGCTGTCAGCCTGTGATGTGGCAAGCGCAAAAGTTCGAAACCAAAGCACGAAATAATGAATCGTGATAGCGTGTCTGCCCCTTCTGAAGGCTTTTTTCAAAGTTAGAAAAAAAAATTATCAATGTACGATTTTGTGNCCGAGCAAAAATTTATCTTTCCATAAATTAATCACCGTTATTTAATTTAAATAGATAAATTTACAGTAAATGTGCCAGTAAAGTCTCAAGCAAAATAAGCCTACTCGTTAGTTCTCAGTTAACTGTAACGGTAAACGGTGGATAGGTGGAGAGTCGCGTAAATGTGTCTTGCGACACATTTACAACCATCGGACATATACATCACCTTTCTATAATCAAGTGATGAGTGGATGTGGGATGTATTCGCTGTGGACCTTCCGTAGTATAAAAGTCCTAATTAATTTACAATAGGACAACATTGAACATACAAATAATAATAATAATCAAGAAGCACTTTAATAGTTGCAGCAGTAGTTTTGACGCATGCAATTCGACAATATTGAAGAGAAAATGAGTTACTTTCCAGGATCGTGAATAAACGTGATAGAAGTAAATTGGTAGAACTCCTTGGAGAAAAGAACGATTATTTGATGATGTAGAAAGGAATCACATTAGATCGGATTCCATTGATCATTGCATATCAGTATACCCATAACACTGATCATCAAATTCATCCACTGATGTTCCAAGTACTAGAATGAGAGGCGCTCAAGGCCCACCAGTGGGGAATTAGGATAAAGTTGTTGGAGTTTGGAGACACTGAGCGTTGGATTAATTGAAAGTAAGAAATGACTAACTATCTGCAAAGATATGTGGATAAACATACCTTCCCCCGATCTCAGTCAGTCCCGGTGTGAGCTGGCTTGCAAATTGCTGCCAATACCTTGGATCTGAGGTTCGTATTTCGGAAAAGGCGGCGGATTAGCCCTGTTGATGAGCTTTATTCAGAGTAAAATTCGAGTCTAGTGTTTCCCAAGTGTACTATTGACTTAACGATTTAAAATTTGTGTGAAAAGGGAATACAAACGATAGTCAATCGCGATGAAAAACACTTATCGCACAACATCACT